ATAGGACATCTATGTCAACACACATTGCAGAAGAATGTAAGGGCCAGGGCATAGGGAAGAGTGCTTTGAACTGCGGGATGTGACATGGCCACTGTGAACATGATGAGTTCACAGAAGCTATGGTTACCTCTCCAAGATCAAACCCGTCAACATTCCAAGGTGGAGGGGTGGGCTCATAAGGCCTCACTCCCGGGTGAGAAGCTACTGGGAGGTGATGCTTGCTGAAGGATGGACAAGTCACTTTTCTTTGAGGGGATGCCACTGGCAGGTTGCCCATTCCCCAGTGAATGACCCTACAGCACTATATAGGCAGCACCAACTGGTTTCAGTGGATTATAAGATAGATAGATAGATAGATAGATAGATAGATAGATAGATAGATAGATAGATAGATAGATGTAAAAGAGTTGAAGCTGGAAAGGAGGTATTTAGGGGAGAGGGTCAACGGGTGTTGGAGGGAAAGAATGGGATAGAAGTAAAATATGAAATTTTCAGAGAATAAATAAATTTTAAGATAACAAAAAGAGTGGAGAGAAAAAAGTTAATTGCAGAATTTAGAGCTTTTAGTGGTTTAGGTGCAATATGAGTAACTAAGATCTAAACTACAACATCCCCAGCGCCTCAGGGCCACACGATTCAAGGACCAGCATTGGGGGCTGTGAAAATGCAGTCACAGGTACCAGATATCTCACTGCACATTAGGAGAGCCAATAGTTTCCCTGCGTGCCTAAAGCTTGGGAATGCAAACATCATATTAGCCTGGAGGAATTTTCCAGTCTCCTTAGATAATGTGAATGTTTTAACCTTAAAACACTTCTTGCAAATTAATGATAAACCTGAACTATTTAAATAGCATGAGGGTTCAGATATGGGGGAAAACATGTTTCTGGTGAACAGAGCGTTCAAGCCTTTCTTCCTCACAAGGCCAAAGTTAATAATGTCCAGAGTTAACACCCTCTCAGTTAAAGATGGAGAGGAGAACACGCCTTGAAAATGGACCTTCTGTAGTCTACACAAGAGTGAATGTGCAAGAGAATTAGAAGCCGGACACCGCAGGAGGCAGCGGATGTTCACTCCTGCACCTAAAGTTCTCAGACTTTATGTGACAATTGAAATTTTATATATCAAAAGTTATTTTTTTTCCATTTTTTATTCTTACTTTTCCAGAGCAAACCATATTTTTTTAAAAACACACGTGAAGTATTAATATCGACCTTTTCTTTTCCTTCCAATAGGTTGACAGTACCTAATGAGTTTTGACATTTCTAAGAAAGAAAAGTAGAATAGAAGAGGTTTCTTTTTGTGGAGTCTAAGAAGGCTGTGAAATATGTATGGTTTTATAAAGGACTTTTCATCATCATATCATCAAAGAGCAGTGGTGGCAACAAGATGAGAGGAATACGCCTCAAACTTTCAAGCTGCAGTATCCTAAAATGATACATCAAAAGCCTGTTGGAGACAAAAGTTTAGATTTAGAGTGCTGTGTGGATACCTGTTTTTCTCAGCAAAATAATTCAGCCATTGTAATTATTTTTAACAGAATTGGGCTTCACACTGTGGGATAATGAGCTGGAAAATGTATTTGTTTTAAATAAAGGCATTTTCACACTACAAGAACACACAAACATCTCTGAAACCCAAATGCGCCCGTCCGGCGTGCCTGGTAAAAGAGCCAATTTGATGTTATTTCCAACTGTGTGGAAATAATTTGCTACAAATTCTGGCTACAATGCAAACAGGTGCTTCTTGAAAGAAACCCCATGAGTCTGGAGTTGCCAAGGGCTGGAGACAGCTGGGAAACACGAAGATGTTTCTTCTCTTAAACGGCACCCAAACTGCTCGAGTCTATTGAGTCCCATCTCTAAGCAGTACTTTAGTTGGCCACTCATCATCACAAGCCCAGGCTGGACTCCTCCGATGCCCCTGCAGATGTTGCAGAGCTGTGCATTTACCTGAGTCACACAAAGAAATCATGATTTTTTTTTTTTGGGGCGGGGGGTGAGACAGGGTTTCTCTGTGTAGCTTTGCGCCTTTCCTGGAACTCACTCTGTAGTCCAGGCTGGCCTCGAACTCACAGAGATCCGCCTGGTTCTGCCTCCTGAGTGCTGGGATTAAAGGCCTGCGCCACCACTGCCTTGAACCGAGACTGGATGGGAAAGAAGTTCCTAATAAAGCCCAGGGAGACAGTAAGAAAAGTCAGATGCAATAACCTTGAGACCAGACTCCAACAAAGTTGAAACCAGCAAAAAAAGCAGGGTGAAATGAACAGCTGGAAAAACACGGACAGAGCAGTTGGAATAACAAGAAATAAGTGGAAAATCATCATGTTATATGTGGTTCAAAGAAAGGAATTGAAAAATCGTATCTGGATTTAAAGGCAAACTTTCAGGAGTCCAAAAATATTGTAAGCAGAGAGTGTTTAGGTCTATGCAATGTTCAGCAGAGTGCTAAGGAAGTACTGTTCACATCCATGTTTCTTGCATGCTTGGAGCTAGGTTGTTAGCATTGCCAGCACTTACCCACAGCTCTGCCTCACCTTTGTTGTTGACATAATAAGCTGTTGATGAGCAACCATTTCAAGTCATCTTCTTGCAGATTTGATATCTTCTCCTCATCCCCTAAGTCATTCCTTTGCTGGAAGTATGGGTATCTCAGCAGCAATATCCATTCTGAACTCGAAAAGGAATTCACCACTTACTGAATGACAGAGTTCCTGGGGAGATGTAAACAGGTATCTACTCATGCCAGATAGGGAACCAATGGCAGACCAAAGTAAAGATGCTGCCAAATAACAACTTGGTGAAGCAATGAGGTTTTGCATTTGTTTGTTTGTTTTTCAGATTACTTACATGACCAGAGATGACTCAAAGACAGCTGCATCACCAAAACCCACCCAAGCATGAGTGATGGCACATAAAAGCTGGAGACCTGGAGCTTGCTCCACAACCTGCAGGTAGCATAAATGGCTGGAGAGTGTCCTTTCCAGGTGGGCCAGTTGCTCTGAGCCTCTTCCAAACAGCTCAACCGGTCTCTGCATCGTCCAGGCAGCTTGGCTCATCTGCTTCTTCCAGATAGCTCAGCTGAACTCTACTTGCAGGTGACTCACGGAGTCAGAGCCTCTTTAGTGGTTCAGCTTGTCTGAGGTTGTCTCTCAGCAGTCAGTCCTTGCCAATTATATGCCCTTGGGAAGGGAGGGTTCTAGTACATTGGTTAGTGTTAGGGGGTTTCTGAAGCCTTTGATTTGTTTGCTTCCTGAGCTTAAGGAGTTCCCTGTAGGGTGGACTGTGTCACCTTCCCCATGAACAGCCTGTTGTTTTACCTGCTCTCTAATATCCTGTGTCTTAATGAGCTTCCCTGCAGGGTGGAAGGTCTTCATCTCAGAGGGAACTACTGCACAACACCGCTGCAAATAGAATGTCCCCAGAATGGCACCTATGTACCCTGAACTGATTCCTTATCAAGGAATTTCTAGGTAACAATAAGGAATCCAATGAATGCACTTGAAAATACCCCAGATTTCCAAGGTCCACTTAACCAAGGCAAAGACAGCCTTTTGTAAGGCAGCTGGCTGCACAGACTGAATCATATTATCAGCTTCATTGTCACATGACTAATTTATCTACAGCCTAAGTGTTGAAACAAATGTAATTAAGTGAGCTTTAAATGTCATATGCAGTGAGAACTTTCCCCTTTATTTTACATTGTGTCATACATATGAAAATAACTTGGTTGTATAAAACCAACTATTACTAAATTGGTTTAGTACGTCCTGATGGCTCACACATGGAGCAAATATTTTCCTATAGCATTGAGATTTCTGCTTTCCCTGGTGTTTCTTGATTGCTTTGGGTAAGGAGTGTTGCAAAATCTTAGCAAAGGAGAATTTGGAAACAAAAAGCTTAGCATTTGAATTTGATCAAGTAAAGAGTTCCCAGGACCTGTTACTTGTCCTTGAAGAAAGTGCATTATTTTGGCAGGGGTGGGAAGTCACATCAGAAAAAAGTGTTGCCAACTACCATGACCTACATAATTTAAAATCTCAACTCTTCAAGAAGGCTGAGGCTTTTTATGTGGACAGTCTTTTGTTTTACTCAGCCCATATTGGTCTTGGGGAAGTTGAGGTAGTAAATTCATAAGAGATGAATCTACTCTGTAGAGCTGAATGGAAAGGAATCGAAGACTATTGAGAAGCAGTTTCTCTCATGCCTCCTTTTAATTGCACAGATAGACATCTGTAAGAGTCAGCATCTCGGTCCCTCTCTCATTCCTTGACTTCCTCTCAATGATCAAGATTCTGACTCTTGCGGATATCTGCACAATTAAAAAGGAGCATGAGAGAAAAACGTGCTACCACTGCCTGGCTCCATTTCTCTTTAAACTGGATCAATCTTGTGTAGCCCAGGGTGGCCTTGAACTCACAGAGTGCTGGGATTAAAGGTGTGTGCCACCACTGCCTGGCCTTTATGGCTAACTGGTGGCTTAGCTCCATACTCTGATCTTCAGGCAAGTTTTATTTGTTAGATCACAAACAAAATATCACCACAAGTTCCTCTGCCTGCTTCCAGTTTGGGCTTTGAGATGTGAGCTGTCAGCTGCTTCTCCAGCCATCCTATCTGCCTACTGCCACAGTTTACCACTGTGATGGTAATGGACTCATCTTTCTGAAACTATTATGATACAGTGTGTGGCAGGCTTTGGTGGGTAGAGCCAAGGTGCCCCATTGTGGGTGAGAGACAGAGACACCATGCAGGCACTTTGGTGGGAGAGGGAGAGGAAAAGAGAGGGGAAGAAAGACAAGGGAGAGGGAAAGCGAGAAACGGGAGAGAGGCGGCAAGGGTGCACATATTGTGGGAATGGAAAAAGAGAGGGGGAGGCGGAGTTTTCTTTTTTAAAGGGGACTTTATATCAGGATGCTGCGTGAAGCCCCCAGGGGTGGGTCAGAATATTAACATTCCTGTAGATGTAACCAACCATCTATTAAATAAGAAACACAGAACCAATGCAAAGAAGAAAGCCAAGAGATCAGAGCTAAGAGCCTTACCAGCCTGCTGCAGCTAGCCTCTTCAGCCAAGAGACCTCTCCAAAAGAGAGCTACTTCCTGTCTGTTTGTCTTTATATAGACTTTCTGTTCTGCCTTCTCATTGGTTGTAAAACCAACCACATGACTGCCTCATCACTGTCTGTTGTACAGCCCTCCAGGTCTTCTATGGTATTGAGCTTAAAGGCGTGTGTCTCCAATGCTGACTGTATCCTTGACCACAGAGAGATCTACCCAGCTCTGCCTACCAAGTTCTGGAATTAAAGGCGTGCACCACGAACGCCCAGCTCTGCTATGGCTTGCTATTAGCTCTGACCCTCAGGCAGCTTTATTTATTAACATACAAATAAAATCACATTTCAGTACAATTAAAATATCACCATACATTCCTCCATTTTGATTATTATAAAAAGACTATTTATGGATAGCAAATGGGGGGGGGGGTGGCGGCGCCGAATTCTCTAGAAAGCTCCATGCGAACAAGGGGCAAATTGGGGAGGGGGTATGTTAGGAATCAGGGTCACATGCAGCAGGAGATCTTGGGCATGGAGGTCTCAGGAGTCTGTTCCTTGAGGGAGCTGAGAAGGCAGGGTGCAGCAGTGATGTTCCAGGAGCTTGGGGGAGTGGTATGCCAAATCAGGAGTACAGAAGCCATTGCATCTGCTGTTTCTCTGGAGGTCAAGTGGGAGGAATGAAACTGTAAAATATGCTCGAAAATGGGTGGGATCAGAAATGGGCTCTGGAGATTGTTAGTTTTCATCAGAATAGATTTATTGATAGTAAAATAGCAGAACTTTCCCCAGGAACCTGCAGGTATCTGTAAGACAGCTGGAATAGATTTAGTGAAAGGCTAAGGCTTTGGGTTAAAAGGTATGATCATTTCCTGGCTTCAGCCCAATGAAACATATCTTTAAATCTACAACCAGAGCACATTTACTGAATGGAAGTGGTTGAGTGAGTGAAGGAGGAGGGAGGCTTCCCTAAACATCATCAGATCTGAGAAGGATATGTAAGTGAACAGAAGTGAGACAGCTTTTCTATACTAAGAGCAGTCAATAATAAGAAGTCACATTGAAATCTGTTCTGTGGAATTATCTGATTTGGGAACAAGGTAAATCATGTCTAGACCTAGTAGTAGTCCTAGGAGAGGGGGACCTGTGAGTTTTACATAGAGAACTGAAAAAGGAGCTGAAGCAAAGCCTGGTTGTCAAATGACATCGGAGATCTGAGAAGGATAAATTTTACCTGTGTTAGCAATTGGAAGTGACAGAGACTTGCCTTCTGGCTACCTAGACAGCCACCTCAGGGTCCTCCATGGTCATTGAAAGCAGAGGTCTCAAGGCAACAACATCCATCTTTGGCTGCCAGGCCTAGGTCTGCCAGGACTCAGAAGATCTGATGGTTGTGGGGTAGGAACTTGTGGGGAGGACCAGCCTATTTTGTCTAGGCAAAAGTGAGGCAATGGGTTCCCAGAGTTCTGTTGCCCATGGTCTGAAGAAGGCCCTGGCAGCAGTCAAGGTTCTTCTGTGTCCATCTCAGTGACTGGTACTGCCATTCTGGAACAAGTTCTGGGTGGAGATTTTCCTATGCCCAGTCATCTTTGGAGGAAATAAAAGTGCTGCCAGGAGTCAGCATATCTGTCTATCATGAAAGACTTTTTAATTAAACATTCTAAACGCCATACTCTGCAGATCTCTGAGTGTTCAGGACTGCCTGTCTATTAGGTATGAATGGCTGACTATCAGCTTGTATTCCCTAAGTCTCCCATATCCTAGCAGCTTCTATAAGGCTAGGACTTGCTGTCTCCTGAGAAGGCAAAGACGAGTGGCAGGGGAAAGATCCCAAGGCCGAATGGGAACCGGAGAAAAGGGGCTTGTGAGTCAGGGTGAGTCTGAGAAAAGGGAAAAAAAAAAAACCCTTGGTGGACCAGGAACTCCATCTTGAATGATTTACATAGAAATAATAATTTCTCAAGGTTATGTAATACCTCTTTTGTTCTGCATAAAGGTCAAGTGTCTTATTGCAGAACCATTTTAAATAATAAATATCAATTGACAATAATGGGTCCAGCTTCCTGGCATATCAATGGGCATTAGGTAGCCAATTGGTCCCCTATACCAGGGATTCTGTCTTTTAACTTAGTCCTCTAGCCTGTCCTGGAAACAGGGAGAATAGGACAATGTATTTTTCTCCGTAACTGCTTCAAGCTGAAACAGGGCACAGGTGTTTAGGACCCTGGGAGCCAAGAGGCTAATCAAAGGTAAGGAGGGAACCCAGGCAATGGGGTCTTTATCAGAAGTATGTGGTCATCTGACCTATCCACAGAGAAAAGAAATAATTACATTTGACTGGACTGGTCCACATCAGCCTTCAGCAAGTCCACATCTCACAGGTTGAAGTCAGTAGAATTCTTTCAACCTCTGTGAAGTAGATCTGATGGCTTCTTTTGATCCTCTGAGGCTTATATAAATTTTTATTAAAGGACATAAAAGTTTTAGCTATATTAGCAAAATTACAGATTTGAGTTAAAACCATGTACATCTTTTTGTTTATACTGAGAGAGCCAAGTATAGATTGGACAGAGATTTCTTTGGGCTGATGAGAAGTTTAATTTTTTATTTTTATAACTGGTATTTATATCCTGAATCATTTATCAAGAGACCTAAAAACTGCTCCCAAGAAAGGGTTCAAGATCTCTTAAATGTCTTCTTGCAATATCAAAAATAAAGTACATGACATTTTAAAAAGATTTAAAATCTCTCAAGTATTAGTGCTGCTACACTATCCCAGCATAGGAGCCCGATACCCCCTCCCTTACCTGAGTCAAAAAATGACTTACCAGTGCCCTTAGTAATGATGGAGGTGAGGTCATATGACCTGTCTGTCTTTCACCTTAGTAAACATAATGTCTACATGACCACATGATGGCCCTCTGGCGCCTGACCATGTGTTCATAATTTTATTTTTAGGCATACAGAATATGGGACAGATAAACTCAAGCATACAGAACAAATATGGAACACAAACTCAAGCATTCAAAAGTCAGTCAGGTGTGTTAATATTCTGATCTGCCCCCTGAAATCCCACCCCTTGGTGCCACCCTGTGTCCTGATATAAAAGCCTCATTCTAAGAAAAAACTCCACCCTTCCTCTCCCTCTCTTCTGCTTTTCCTCCTACAAGGTGCACACCCTCAACCTCAATTCTTCCTCCTCCTCCTCCTCCTCCTCCTCCTCCTCCTCCTCCTCCTCCTCCTCTTCTTCTTCTTCTTCTCCTCCTCCTCCTCCTCCTCCTCCTCCTCCTTCTCCTCCTCCTCCTCCTCCTCCTCCTCTTCCTCCTCCTCCTTCTTCTTCTTCTCCTTCTCCTCCTCCTCTTCCTTTTCTCCTTCTTCTCCTTCTCCTTCTTCTTATTCTTCTCCTCCTCCTCCTTCTTCTCTCTGTCTCTCTCTTTCCTATCTTTCTCTTCATCTCTCTATTATAATAAACTCTCCACATGGATGTAGCATCTAGGTTGTGAATTACTGGCCACTGCTGCTGCTGCCACGCCCACATGACATGCTCCTGCCCAGCCCACCAATGCATCCCCCCAGCATGTTTCTCCACACTTGAGGGATGCCCTTGAGGCCCCCATGCAATAATTCATAAAATTAGTGCCCAATGTCACCAGGCAATTCCACTGCTTTTTCCTGCCCATCAGCAATCTGAGGAGCTCTGGGATCCTGTATCACCTGCCATTTTCAGGTTGGAGCACCACCAGGGACTCTTCATCCTACTAGACTGGTAAGATTCCTCCCTTCCCTTCTAGCCATTTTCCCACAAACGAGGATTCCTCTCATTTGCTTGCTGACCACGTGTCTTTCAGGCTCTAAGCCCCTCAGCCCCTGTCCCTATGATGGCACATGGAGACAGCCTGTGACCTCTCAATTCCATGGCTGATAGCCATTGACACAACAGTCCATTGGCTAACTTGTACCATTATTGTTGGCCCTCGCTGACTGTCTGGGATGCCAGAGGTCAGTCCACTGGGCCTTGTACCTCATTGTAGAAAAATGTGCCAATGGCCCCCTGCCCTCACCATTGCCACCAACCCATGGCTTGGGTTCGTTCCCCTGTGACTGCTTGCACCACGCTGCAGCCGGAGTGGGGGGTCCTTCTCTCCACCTGGCTACACTGTTACTTCTCCGTCTTTCTTTCACAAAGTATTTCCTGAGTGTGAATGGAAATGTATGATTGATATGGCCATCTATATTTCTTTCTGACTGACTTTTAAGTGCTTCAATTTATCTGTTCCTTATCTGCTCAGTTTATTTTGGGGAAAAAAACCAACATGAACATGTGGTCAGGTACCATATTTGATAGGGGCAATCATGTGATCAGGCAGCACCATCTTAAATAAAGGCAACCATATCATCAAGGCACCATCTTAAATAAGAGCAACCATGTGGTCAAGCCACCACCTTAAATAAGGGCAACCACATGGTCTAGCCACCATCTTGGCTAAGGTCAAAATAGGCGCAGGTCATATGAACTCACTACCATTTTTACTAAGGGCAGCATTGCAGGGCCCAGTGACATATGCACTCTCCTCCAGGACATCAGCAGAATCACATGCATGCAGTATCATTATATTAAGTTTTTAAAATTTCAGATCTTAACATTAATACAATTCTGATACACTTTGGGTCATAAGCTCAGGATTTTAAATTTTCCTTGGCTACTCATTACCTGCTTTTCTACAATTTGGATTTTGGTACTGATTGATAATATTAATTTATATAAAACTCTTTTTTCCTCACCTGTCTATTCCTGAGAATGATACTCCTCTCCCTCCTGGTCTTCCTTTCCCAATTACTAAGACCATGGGCCAAGAGGTCCCCAATAAATTCATAAAATTTTAACTCCTGCTTATAAAATTTTAACTCTCATCTCTACTCTATATATTTCAGCAGGATGGCAGAAACATAGAAGCAGCGGTTGTAGACCACAACCTGCAGCACTTGCCCTGCTATGGATGCCAGCAGAGACTCTTGTCTATGTGATGTGGACCAGCCCAGCCAAATGTAATTGTTCCCTGCCTCAACAGCCAGGTCAGATGACCACATGCCTGGGTTCCCTCCTTACCTTTAACTAGCCAGAGTCCTATGGAGAACACATCATTGTGTGCTCCCTATTCCCAGAACAGGCTGGAGGGCTAGGTTAGGGATGGATACCCCAGCATAGAGTCCACCAAGAGGGTCCTTTTGCTTTTCTCAGAGTGTCCTTTTCTCAGAGTTGGGCTGCACCCTGACTCACAAACCCCTTTTCTTCTGTTCTCATTCAGCCTTGGGATCTTTCCCGTCACTCTTTTTTGCCTTCTCGGGAGACAGCAAGTCCTAGCCTTATAGAAGCTTCTAAGATATGGGAGACTTAGGGAATACAAGCTGATAGTCATTCACACCCAATAGACAGGCAGTCCTCAAATGCCCAGATATCTGCATAATATGGCATTTAAAATGTTAATCAAAAAAGCTTATTATATCAGAGACTCCCAGATATAACAGTGACCCAAGGTCTCTGAAGAAGATGTCTCCACCTGGACGATGGCAACACTGACCTCTGGGCAAGTTGCCCAAATGTGACACCTGCCGCCATGACCAGCCCAGACTGTGGACAAACAGTGGGACATCAGGGAATTGATTGCACCCCTTTTTGCCTAGACAACATAAGATCAGTCCTCCGTATGTCCCTCTTCCATGGAAAAATTCACACCTCATGGTCTTGATGGATCAAAGACTGATGCTGTTCTGATACTTCTGCCAAAAATGTGGAGACCTGGGTATGGCTAACTGGGTATGGACTGGTCCCTGTCATTTTTAGCAGATTCGAAAGCTGCTTGGTCTGCACTCAGTCGGGTACGATTTATCCTTCTCAGATCTCTGATTCCATTTGATGGCCAGACTTTTCTTAAACTGCTTTCTCAGTTCTCTGTATAGAATTCAAAGGTCCCCCTCTCCTAGGTAGCTGGAAAGCTGTCTTACTTCTTAAATTTATCCTTCTCAGATCTGACTATGTTTGCTGACTGGGGTATCAGTTTAACAGCCCCAATCCCAAGATCATATATATATATATATATATATATATATATATATATATATATATATATATATATATATATGCTCTCCAATTACAGACAGGTATGCCTCATTCACAGACTTCATGGTACAGGATAGATTGGTTTCAGATATAACTCCAGAGGTTCAAAGTTTTAATACTGATAAATGCAGGTTTGATAAACTGATAGAACACTGACTACAAAGAATTCTTAAAATGGATTTTTAACCTCTTTGCCATGATGTAAATCCATTCCAGCTTTCTTATAGATACCTACAGGCTCCTGGGAAAAGTTTTGCTACTGAATCAAGAAATCTGGTCTGATGAAAACTAACAATCTCCAGAGCCCATTTCTGACCCCACTTATTTTTCGAGCATATTTTACAGATTCATTGTGCCTGCCTGGCCTCCGGAGAAACAGCAGATAACATGGCTTCTGTACTCCTGATTTGGTGTGCCATTTCCCCCCAAGCTCCTGGAACACCACTGCTGCAACCTGCCTCCTCAACTCCCTCAAGGAACCATTCCTGAGTTCTTCTACTGCCGTGTGTGACTTCCAGTTCCCCTCCCCACTTCACCCCTCGTCAGCTTGAAGTAGCCTCGAGAATTCAGTGCCTTGTTCCCCCACTTGATCCCATAACTCACCTCTTTTTATAATAATCAAAACGGAGGAAGGTTAATATTCTGATCCACCCCTTGAAATCCCATCTCTTAGCGCCACCCTGCATCCCGATGTAAAAGCCTCATTCTAAGGAAAAACCCCTCCCCTTCCGCTCACTCTCACAGCTTTTCCTCCCACACGGTGTGCACCCTTGACCTCTATCTCTCTCTCTCTCCTCCTCCTCCTCCTCTCTTTCTCTCTGCCTCTCTCCTATCTGTCTCTTCATCTCTCTATTATACTAAACTTTCCACATGGATGCAGCATCTGGGTTGTGAATGGCATGCAGGCTGCTGTTGCCATGCCTGCATGCCATGCATCTGCCCAGCATGTTTCCCTGCATGTACAGGATACCCTCAAGGTCCCCCTGTGCAATAATTTGTAACAAGGTGGCCACCTCAATCATACATTTCCATCCACACAAATGAAATAAACTGTTTTAACAGAACAACAGACAAAACTCCAGGAAACTGTCAGCTATCCAACTTTAAAAAGCCAGAGAAAAGAATGTACAGTATAAAATGAGCTGTAGGACTGCAGGCTGAGAAGCAGCAGGGTGGGAGAAAGCCAGGAAGAAGCAGAAGTTAAGCGAAGCATCCTGGGTCCCCTGAGCGGTGGCCGTGGGGGCAAGGGCTATGTCCGGCACTGCTCGCTCCAATGCCATGAGTGGTGGTGGCTGCAGGTGGGAGGAAGGGATGGGAGTGTATAGCCCAAGAATCTAATTCTCCGTAAGTGAGGAAGAGGATACAGGCTGCTGAGTGATTCGTCAGTTGCAGAGCAGGGGTACGAAGGATGCTGAGGTCCAAATGAGACAGCATAAGCTATTGCAACGTTTCATCAGAGAACTGGGCTGGAGGGCAGAAGCCTGAGGGACATGTGATTGCTCAGTACTGAGACTTATGAACGCGGCCAAAAGACGAGAGACCATGGTCGAGGAGACGAATCCTCAGTCATGGTAAATGGCCAGAAAGGGGGCTTACTGATTATGGTGGTGTTGGATAAAGCTGAGTGTTGAAGGTTCCAGGGCCCCTCGCGTGTCTCAGACTGCCAGCAGGGAGGAGAAACGCACCAGGAGGGCCTCTGCTGAGTCACTGGCACCAATGTTAGGATATGGCAGTGGGAGGTCATGGCTAGCCTGGCCAAGGTGCCTCACGGTGGGCGAGAGACAGAGATGCCATGCAGACAGCCCTCAGTGAAAAGTTTTATTTGGTGGGGGGAAGAGAGAGGAGAAAGGAAGAGGGGAAAAGATAGATAGGGAGAGAGAGAGAGTGTGTGTGCATCTCTTGGAATATATAGAGAGGGGGGGAGGAGAAGGAGTTTTCTCTTAAAGTAGGCTCTACTTTAGGATGCACAGAGTGAGTCCCCAAGGGCAGGCCAGAATACTAACAGTAAATCCAAAGTAAACCCTTCCTTTTACAAATTACCTTAGTCAGGGTATTTTATTACAGCAATAGAAAAGTCACACACACACACACACACACACACACACACACACACATATACACACACACACACACACACACCAATAACAAAGGAAAAGAGGCCATAAGATGGACGGAAGTGGAGAGAAGGGCAAGGGAGGGGTTGGGGGCTGGGCACGGGAAGGAAAGGAAAGGGGGGAATGATGTAATCACATTTAAATTAAAATTTAAGAATACTTTAAGTAATTGTTATGTTTTCTCAATAGGTTGAGAAGAATTTAAACTCTGAATTAATTCCCTAAGAGGTTGTGTGGTTTCATTTTGAGTAAGAGAAAAAGGCTTCCATTATCTTACATATCCTCTTACTCAAATAATAACACTTTGGGTGATCTTTGGTAGTTATTTTTTTTAATGGATTCTTTTTTTTTTGTCAAGACAGAGTTTACAAAGTTTTACAGACACAGGAATATCTTGTTCTTTCTAAGAAATGAAAGACCTTGTACCTCAGAGTAAACATTATTTTCTTGCATTTACCTTTCAGAGAAGGCACACAGTGAACTTCACTACTTAAGTCAGCAGCTAGAGTATGTCCTTGGCAAACAGAAAAGAAATACTGGAAAATATTAATTTCGCAATATTAAAAGTAGATTATATTTTTATCAGGGATAAGTTTAGAAACATTATTTTGTCTCTATACTATGGTTCTGACTTACTTGCATAAGCAAAGAGATATTGTTTTGTATGTAATTTTAACAGTCTTTAGAAAGAAGGTAGACTCAGAATCCCATAAATAGCAGTAAATCAGTTTATTGAAAAATCTGTTAATAAGATTTTAGCTTTACCTTACTTGCTCATTGTATCAGTACTATGTCTATAATACTCATGAGATTATCATCAAAATATATGACTGAACATTTCAGCTTCTGCTCACTCACTGAAGCTGTATGTTGCTAATTGCTTTTGTTTTCATACACTTTTATTTTTAATCACAGTGTAATAATGTGAACCCTCATTGGAAAGATATATATTTTTAAAAAGGAAATCCTGTCTTCCCCTCCACTTACACGCTATCTGAATTCTACTCCCCTCATCAGAAGAATTACCTTCAATTATTAGAAACTTTAATCTGTCTAATTCTATTACACAATGATCAGAATTTGTTGTTTGTACATTTCTGGCTTTAGGGATGTCTCAATATTATTGGCTTGGAGAACTCTACAATGTTAATATAAGATCCTCAAAAGATGTGTGTTTTCTCAGTGTGGGTTACAAAGGCAGAAATAGACATAGAGATAGAGATTGAGATACATCAGACCACAGTTGCTGATTGTGACTCAAATTTCATCTACCATCATGTTCTCTTGATCATTCAGATTCTAAAAGAAATACATTAAGGTTTCAACTGTGATTTCAGATGTTAGTTTTTGCTTTTATTTTAAAAGATTTTCTTCTTTATAATATTTAAAGTTTCCTTAAATTCCTATGGACTTCTTGGATAAAGTCTTATGTCTGAAAGTGATTTAGTTTTTCTCTCACATTTTAGTTATACTTGGGATATTTGTCTATATTAAAACTTTCTTCACTAATGGAATATTTTAAAGATTAAAAAGAAGAGAATTCTGTCTGTGTCTGTGGGTAGACCTTAGGGTACAATGCTAAGTGAGATAAGTCAAGAACAAGACTATATGATCCAACTCACATGAAATCCCTAAAGCAGTCAAAATTCAGAAACAGAAATAATAAAGGGTAGGGAGTATCAGAGGATGGATTTGTACCTAATGGGTTTCAGTTTTGCAAAATGATAAAATCCTAGAGATCTGTTGTACAATGTGATTATGCATAAAACTACTGAACTCTACACATAAAAATGGCACAGATGGTCAGTTAAATGCTTTGGTTTATTCATGGTGCTCTGACTCACCATACTGTGTCTTGGTAAGCTTCTCTTCTCAATCACTGTGTTCAACATTTGTTTAGCTCTACAATATGAAGAATTAAATCCTTCTCAGTACAGGAAAAATTTCTTCTTTTACTGATTGCTCATAACATGTTGTCCACCCAGAAAACCAAGAAAGGATGTGGTTAATAGCCAGGTGACCTTTGTACTGTCTGTATGTTCAAGACCACACTGGATCCTCCCCTGGACCCTTATAATAAGCTGGATTTTTTTTCTCCCTCCCCCACCCTCCAGTTATCAGTAACCTTATTTTTCTGAGTCAATCTATGGAACCCATCTTTATGGAAAGTGTCACATGTACTTTGCAAAGAGTTTTGATGTAGTCATGCCCAATATTTATTTAGCTTATATTGTGCACAAGAGATTGAGTTCATTATCAACAGGAAGGTTTTCACCAAATTGTGCTGTGCTTCAATACACCTAAAATAAACTACACTGGGTCAGACTCCCAAAGTTTGAACCAGTACCAGCTTAGTCATGTTGAACTGAACTACCTTCTCACCTCCTGCAGATTGTTACTCTGCTGGCCATGGTGGTCACAGAGACCCCCACAAGCATCAATTTCCTCCTTCCAAAACTTCTTGGGAACTTCATTTCTTTCCACCATGCTTCTCAGCTCTTTCTTGGTCACCATGTTTCTTGTAAAGTTCGCCTGGATCCTGGGTTGTGATCTTCTCTTCATATTCCAGATCATCAATGTATTGTTTATCAATGTCCTTTCTGTGGTTCAGACTTCTACTGGATTTTCTTTAACAATAATACTTCTAATGTCCATGTGCTGTATTTTTCCATCTTTTACTATTTTCTTTGTATAGCACATTATTCTTGGTATGTGGATGCCTCTTTAATATCTCTAAGGAGTTATTATGATTTATTTAATGTCTGCTGACTTACTTCTTTGCTTTTAAATGTCATGTAATTTTAAATATTTAATATTTAAATTTGTTTTTAAATATCATGTAACCTGCCTAACATGTTTTTATTATTGTTATAATTATGGTCCTCCAGATCACTCACTCTCATTCCTTGAGAAATCTAATTTCTGGTATGCTATCTCTCTACCCAACAGACCTGTGGCCTTAACTCTTGACAGTTTCCATGTCTATAGGGGTGAACTTCTCCCCTCTGGTAACTTACCATTCACCTTTCTCAGCCATTGATACTAATGGCCACATCTTAGACACTACTAACAATTTCAATCCCTTTATGGTCTTGATTTCATCAACTCTTGTTGTCAACCTTCAAAGTTAGAGAGTTTCTTTTGTGTTCCAACCCAAACAATACTTTCACCCAACTTAGATCCCTACTCCGTTATTTCTGCCACATTTTCTCCTTTGCTCAAAGTTATGAAGTTTGTTTTCCCCTTAAGTCATCTTGAACTCTACTTTTAATCACTTTGTGAAGTCCCTTGATTATTCATTTGATTCTCTTGTCTCTACCACCTCACTGAAGTTGTTTGGTCAATCACAAGTCTAGATCAATCCAATTTTCTACTATTCCAAACCTATGCTTTTGTACCTGCATGTGTCTGATGATGACATCTCAAGCTTAAGGAGGGTTTTAACACACAACAATCACACTGTTAGACTGCAATGAAACAGACAGGAACTCAACCTCTTTTCTTGCATGTGTTATTCCTTTATATCTAGCTTTTGAGTAGATTATAGAGCAGACTTTACTATAATTTTGGGAGAGGTGACAATAATTTGTCTTCCAAACAG